ATATATGTGTGTGTGTGTGTGTGTGTGTGTCTATATGGTTCAGCCTCCTGATTAGTCGGTGAAACTCCGATGAAACAGAGTTTGTCACAGCCCCTCGTTTGTTGTCGTCTTCTCCCTCTCTGCCGACGGTTTAGCCGGCAGTTCTGTTTGACGATATATATGATATCTTTCGTATCAAAGGGTCAGGTCCTAGTAGGACCGACATAATCTAGCAGATCAGGCCAGAATCGGACAGGAATAGTGTTTTGCAGGGAAGGCCCACCTGGAATTGCAGCAGTTGTCGGTACCTCAGTCACAAGCTTCGGAGAAGTGAACGCATAATCTGTTGTAACTTGTAAGCCTCCCTTCACGGATGATGTAAAAGAACTGCTGCAGTCGTTTCTCAGGGCATACGCGCGCAAGGACTTTCGTGCGTGTATTTGACTGCAATTATGGCCAAGATCGGAATGAATCTGACGGTAATCACATCCAGAGCTTTGTAGAAAAGTTCTAGTGTGAGTGTGCACTCATCGTGGTGAAGACGTTGATGATATGCATTTGCTCGAACAGTCTTCAGCACGATGAGAGGAACCTGAGACAGCCAATACGCTGCCCATACGTTGTGAAAAGTTTCACATTCACAATGTGATTCGCGTGGGAGGAGTGACAAATGCGGTGAGGCACGGTCGAAATGGGGTGAGTGACCCCCCATTTGTCAGCCTTAGAGAGATTTGCCAGTCTCACATAACAATCTTCAACATGTTTTTTTAACTTTTTTTTTTTCGTTTTGTTTCATCTTGCCCTGCTCCCCTCCCCCCCCGACCCTGCTGCGTGTTTCAGGAAAAGAACCATTTTGTCGTATTCGACATGGCTTACCAAGGGTTTGCTTCAGGTGACACATCAAAAGACCGACAGGCGATCCGTATCTTTTTGGAGGATGGCCATCAGGTTGCGTGTGCCCAGTCGTTCGCAAAGAACATGGGCCTTTACGGGCAGCGTATTGGCTGTCTCAGGTGCGCACGCAATGAACTCCTTCTCCTGTTTTTCACTCGTTGCGTGAATTGACTGATGGATGCATCGCTATGATGAACAGTTTTTTCCTCAGTGAATGTGAAACGTGCCGCTTTTCAGATCTGCCACGGTCGTTGTAGTGACTTGGTGCACTTTTTCTCTTTTGAGAATGGATCAGCCCTTTTAACTTGTTTATGTTCATCTGGCTCCATCAGGATTGGAACTAACTGATGCCCTCAGCTGTCAACTGTATCTGAGAACAAGTATTGGACCCAGTTCACCGAATCGAGAGTCCAGATTCCCCGGGCCTGTGGACTTCCAGGCAACCTCTGGACAGGAAGTGCGTGAAGCCCAAGGAGCTGATTTCAGCGACCTCGCGCAAGAAACACGATACATTGGATCTCGTACTTTACGAAGTATTTTTTGTCACTTTTGTACTAGAAAATGACTATAAATCTTCAAAGAGTTTCTGGTTTCTCCTCTTGGGACATGGGAGCCTCTATTCATCTAGCAACTTAGGCCTGCACTTTTTCATCATCCGGGGACAATTTTTTGTCGACTTTCCGTTTTTTTTGGGTTAACTAACTTTAACGTATCCTCTCTCTCTCTCTCTCTCTCTCTCTCTCTCTCTCTCTCTCTCTCTCTCTCTCTCTCTCTCTCTCTCTCTCTCTCTCTCTCTCTC